CTTATTTAAGTCCGGATAAACATGTACCCAAATATATCTCATCTGTGAAAATAACATTTTTGATTTTTCTACACGAGATCATAAAAAGTTTTTTTTGTTATTTCTAAAACTTGCAATGAAGTTAGGGTATTATCTATTTTATCGTGTATTTCAGCCTATCATTAGAATAACAGCAGTCATGGGCGTCCGCATGGGGGGGGGGGAGACAAGAATGGCAACCTGGAAAATGAAAAACATAATTATTTATTTATTGAGCATATGAATATGAATTTTTTATTCAATTCACAATTTCACACTACTTTGCTCCCCTGGAAAAAATTCTGCGAGCGCCCATGACAGCAGTACGAATTAGATTTCAGCTGATGAAGTAAAGATGTGTCAATAAAAGGAAACTATAATGTTGTTTCTTTCAAAAAGGCCGAGCCCCGTGGCTAGTGTGGCGGAACATAGATCTATGAGTCCATTTTTACCACCAAAAATATTACGCTTCGCACTTTGGGGTCATTGTTGTGTTTTATAAAGGTGACGATCAAACCTTTAGTATTCAGTCAGTGAAGAGTTGGCGGTAGTTGCGATTTATTAGCTGCCTTTTCTCTAGTCCTATCTGTTGACAATTAGGGACGACTAGCTGATATAGCTCTTCAGTAGCTTTTCACGAATATTAAAAACAAATTATTTTCTAAAACAAACCTCGTGTATCAAAAACAAACTATCATTCTGAAATAATCTTTTAGATAAACTATTACTACGCAATCATTTGGATTAAAATCCGTCGCGACACTTTCTGCCGTTGTGGAGTTGTGACGTGCTGTCAATCCCACTATACGTTGGTAGATAGCAGCTCAATTTTTTGGCTGCCAATGCCGCCGGCTGTTCACCTTCTCTATCATCGGCAGATACCCTTAGAAGCAATGCCAAGTTTATCATAAAATCAAACAAAACTACTGGCATATCAACGCAGTTAGGTCACTTAGTGGTCAATACAAGGATTGAATGTTAACAGATTAAATTTGGATGTTACATCTTAATTGATAGGGTTATGCGTGTTTGGGTTCAACGCTTAGATTTTTGATAAAAGGAGCATATACTTGTACGCTTGATTGTAGGTTGATAAGTTTTAACAATTGGGTCAGAGGTCTAACGTGAAAGTACTTTCATAAATAGTGTTTATTTGGTACGAGTAACAGAATAAAGTTTGAAACTGTCAGTATTCACTAATAGATTGTGTCGACGTAACCGAGACTGTTTCTTCGTCGTTACGTTATGCAAGGTTGTATACACTAACAGCTAAAGAAGGACGAGTCCTGAATAAACTCTAATCTTACAGCGACAGAAATAAAACCGACTTACAACTTTTCAAAGACAAGTACTACATTATAGTTGTCTTTCACTTTATGATGTTTGACCAAGAAAAATCCAGAAGGATTATGAAGAACAAGACTCACGAGTGGTACACAAATATCGAACTTACTTCTATTTAGACGTAAGGAAGAGGTGATGATTGGAGAACAAATATGTGTATTTTATACAAAGTGATTGTACATTAAACTATTATAGATAATGACTTTGAAAATGTACATTCATCTCTTCAAGTAATTAAAAAAAATTATCGCAAAAGGTGTAATTAAAAGAATGTAAGAAAGATTGTAGACATTTCAACAAAGAAGGTAAAATTTTACGGAAATATTACAACTTCTTTCTGTCGTAATATACAAAGACCTTAATATGATTTTGTAGAGGTTTATAATGTATATATACATGAGTAATGATATGATTATCATTGTCGTTATTTACCTTATACAAATACTAACATTTATATGTACGATTCCTTTAAACTTTTCTCGTGATTACTGATTCTAAATTTATGACAACAATTGCGTTATAGACAGCAACAAAAGAAATATATATACATATATGGTCTGTCATGTTCATGTATTGAGGACGTTCTTAAATTCTGTTTACGATAGTTTCTCATTTACGAGAGTGCGGATGGTTTATAAGTTCCATCTTTGTTTTACCTTGATTAGAATATGTCTACCTGATGACTGTTTTGCGGATTCAGTTGCCAGTTGTTTACGGCTAATTGTAACAATCTTATACAGCTAATGCTTTGTTCATGTTTAGCTTACCCTGTGCCAAAGTTAAGCTTCAGCATGTCCATAAATAAAGGTTTTCTTGAAATCAATTGCTTTGTTCTGATTTATTTTCTAACTATTTCAAAATGTATAATTCTCGAAACCCAATTAAACTAATCTTGCATTTTGTTCACACTTTTATAGCTTTTTTAAAAAGACTGGCTTGATTAGATAAAATACGTTGATCCATATATTTGTGACTACAATTATCTACTAAAATTACCAGAAGCATTCTTTCCAAATAATTAATGAAAGAGAGAGATATATATGATGTAATGCGGATCAACAAGCTTTAATAGAATAACTGTTTTCACGTGGATTGTTTTCGGGAAGATGACTAATTCAGAAAAAGACTAACACGATCATTAACCTTGGTAACAATTTTTTCGAACTTGTTAATACTTTGTTATGCGAGTTTAAAAGTTTGTATTGCAAATTCGAGAGTTCTATTTATTGCTGGCCAGGTGGTTAGGGTGCTCGACTCGCATTCTGTGGGTCGCGGGTTCGAATCCCCGTCACACCAAACATGCTCGCCCTTTCAGCCGTGGGGGCGTTATAATGTGACGGTCAATCCCACTATTCGTTGGTAAAAGAGTAGCCCAAGAGTTGGCGGTGGTGATGACTAGCTGCTTTCCCTCTAGTCTTACACTGCTAAATTAGGGACGGCTAGCGGAGATAGCCCTCTTGTAGCTTTGCACGAAATTCAAAACTAACAAACATTATTGGTTTTATTTTTCTGGAATAATTTGTCGTGTTTTATTTCTCCTTCTTTCAAAACTTTCTTTATTTTCAGCTTTTATATCAAGTCGGTATTTGAATTTGTCTTTTTCTGTTGTCTTCAAACAGTTGAAAAATTATTTACAAACTTTCGTGGCTTGTATTAAATTCCTGTACAAGTGTTTGGGAGTTTCAGTAAACCATCTCAACCTGTAAGAAACTGAGTTTTCGCGTGTTTTTAATTTCAAATCACAAATTTGTGACTACACAATCGAATTTTCAAATATAAATATTGGTTTTTGTAAGCATTTTCGTTTATAGTCCTTTGTGCACGTATACCGTATCCATTTCAGATAACTGATTGTTCTGATATTTTAGATAGTGTGGATTCTGTAAGATTGAAATGTGTAACGTACTGTTTCTGCCCCAGTTCTCAAATGGGCCGAAATTTCGGTGTCTATAGCTTGATTTATTTGTTTGTTGTTAAGCTTAAATATCTGTGCTGTAGCTACCGTGGGTATCAAAACCCAGTGTTTTGCGTTATAAATCCGCAAGGAAGGAGATAAACTTTGAGACCAACATGAAGATCGTAGCTTGTCTCATTTATGAACCAAGTCAAAAGCATTCCATTACAGGTATCATGATTTTAAAAAACAAGTCAGACTTTAGTTATAAAACTGTTTACAAATTCTCACATGAATCTAAAGAACTAAAAAATAACATTATAGTCACAATGAACAATAAGAAAATACACAGAAAACAAAAAAACAATAAAAACTATACCTAATCAAGTTTTAGTGGTCCTATTGTCATGAAGCTCAGTGTTGTTAGAACTGAAGTAAGAAATAGCTCCAAGCGCGTCATCCAACTTTTTTTTTATCTGGCAATATATCATCTTTTATATTTATGTTTATCCTTATTGCAAAAGCAGTTCCATTAAAAAAAAATGGGACCCTAGAGCTCCGTTCTTTGATGAGAAACTTAAAAGCTTTTGCTGTGGTTAAACGTTTTATAAAGTCGAATTGGCTGAAAGTTTCTTCAAAGCAGACAAATAACATAAAAATGATGTAGTTTTCAAGGTATTTTAATGACTAAAAGAAGAGTAAGCAATATACTCTGAAAAGTGCTATATCTTAAACTTAATCTGACAAACGAGGAACTGAACTTTTTCTAATAATATATTTTTCTGTCAAGGTAAGAACAAATTGAAAAAACAATAACGTATCTTAGATGGTCTAAATCAGTATGAAGTTCTGTTCAACAATGATAAAGAAAAAAAGTCATCCTAGACAGTCCATTTTCTGGAAGTGTTCCAAATAAATATTGTCTATAGTTTATCCTGAAATTTGCGAATTGAAACGTCTGTAAGCTGGTGAATCACATTAAAAAAAAGTTTTATCCTGTAAAAATCAAATAGCATTAATTCTATCTAGCTACGATTCTTTCACCAGAAAGGTAAGTGTGAATGTGAAAGATGAATCCTCTTTATTATCTGTGCTACTTGGATTTCAGATTAATCCTATGATATCAAAGCCCACTACAGCTCCACATACTGTTCATATGCATGGTGGATTTCACTCATCTGTTTACTCAGATATTGTGGAACCTAGTATTTATTGTCAGTGACGCACATGTGCCACTGTTATGAATTGTTCAAGTTAAAGGTCGTGATAAATACATGATCACTGAAACGTTTACGAATCCTCATTGCAGATCTGTATCTAAAAAAAATGCTTTCAGACCATTGAGAAAGATATAAAGAACGAAATAGGTTGACAAATACCATTTGAACAAGGGAGAGTTTTCATAATATTT